AGGAGGAAAACTGCCCCTCCCCTGTCGGTTTTTACCGGGCTGACCAAGCCGTCGTACCGAGCTGGGTAATAAGAGAAAAGAAAGAGGGGAGAGGGAGGGAAAGAGAAAGAAGATAAAAGGAAAAGGAAAGAAAAAGATAAGAGAAAAATAAAAACAAGAATAAAAAGGAAGATATCATAATGACCAGACTCACAACACCCAGCAATCACTTCTCCACTTCAAAAACTGTCATAACTCCTTTCATCTATGCTGCTCGATGGCGTAACCACTGGGGGACAAGGGGAAAATATCTTAATCTTCCCCACCCCTTTATAAATGCCCTTTTCATCCCCTGAAAGTGATTACGGTAGGCCAATTTCCTCTATAAATTGCACATTTTAGATAGTTTTCATCAATTCCGACGAAATTAGAATTAAAAATACAAAAATATTTTGCGTTTTTAGGGCTTTTTTACGTTTATTGTTTTAAGTTATTTAAACACATAATAGTTCCAAACTCAAGAAAACAAATTTAAGATAGATTGTTTTAACCTAAAAGAAGGGCCTCGTGATTGATGGTGAAAGAATATGTTTGTAATAAATAAAACCATGATGAAAATGCTTATATTTAATTCCAAACACACGTGTGTGGCCTATATTATAAATAAGATAAGCCCTATGTCGCATTGTTTTCTATATGGGGAGTGGCGTGGGGTGGGTATGGTAAATTACTAACCGGGAAAATAAATACCCACTCTGACCCAAGACGCCTGTTACGCGCCTGGTGTTAGCGCCAATGTGTACCCTTGTGCGGACAGGGGATGTGCCCCACTCTGAAGCTGGAAACCTTGTTTTTGCAAAATAAATTGGTGCAATTTGCTATTATAGGCCTAACCAATAAATTCCTCATCAACCGATATAACCTTAAACATTCTTGGAATTGACATAACATTACTGATGTCGTACACACCCTTCAGTGTGAAATGTGGCTCTCTTTGCAAGCACATCTAACATCTAAGGAAAGAAGAGCTTAGATTGGTACCAGATAAAATAATTTTGATTTTAAAATCATTTTGTTAACATTATGCTAATTTTCATCTTCGTAAGCGCATAAGACAGTGCAAATTATTTCTGTGACAGTCTTTTGAAGTGTGTAAAGCTCCATTTTATCCCATACATAATCAAAATATTGGGGATGATACAATGGACCATCCCCCTTGTCAAATATTGGGGGATATATCCCCCATCCCCCACCCCGGGATCTACGACTATGCTTATTAGCACTAGGGCCGAAACGGTATCCGATCAGTTTGTCAAAATTCAGTTTGCCGAAACCCTGATTGCCGAATTAATGGCCTCTTTGCCGAAACCCAGTTTGCCGAATCCAGTTCACTGAAATCATGACAACCCAGTTTGCCGAAACCCATCGTACAAAAGTACAGCATACTGTGCTTTTGAAAACATGATGTGTACATTCCCGTATTTGTACCCGTAGTAAACGCTCCGCTTTGAGTAAACGCCCCTTCTAGAGCCTCATTCTGGAATAAACGTCTATTTCGAATACACCCCGTGGCGTACATTTTTTCCTCGAATGAACTCTTTGACTGTAAGCGGATCTAATGGAAACATCATTTCCAACACTTTCTACTAACGTTTTACTCCAGTAGAATTACATTTTAATTACAGTGGAATTAAGGGGCGTTTGAGTATATACAGTACCGGTACATACCGTACCCATTTTAAACAAAAAAATAAATACCTGCCTCGAATAAACACATCCCTCGAATAAACTCCCCCTCAAAAACCATTCTCAACAATAAACGTCTCTGGGCGTTTATTCGACAAAACCGTCCGAGACCAAAAATGATAACTTGCCTATCCATATAATGTTACTTTGATTGTCAATTTCTAATATTGTGGTATAAACCCCCCCCCCCCCCCCACACCCCGCCCAAAAAAAAAAAAAAACTCCCAACGCGAACACACGGATTTTTATGCCGGGACCCTGACAGAGGCTCTAGTCAGCACCTTGATTCGGGTTTATAATTGTAGATTATTATTAATTATTCATTTATTTATTTATTTCATTTAGGTATACATATTATTATTATCTTAACTTATACACTTAGGCTATTATATATGCTTATAAGAAAATTTATCTGACAGATTTTTTTGCTGATAGATAAATTGTTAATCAAGTTTGATTTACACAATAAGACAAAACTAATCTTAAACTACAATAAACAGTTATTTATTATAGGAATAAACAGAGATCACATCGCACTTCGCATTGGAAGGCTTCTAAATTCTCAATTTCGCAATTCTGGAATTTGCCTCTTTAACAATGTATGTATGTAAAATGTAATAGATAGTTTCCTTTTTCCCGAAAAACCATGTAATTTTCTTTCTTCTTTGAGAGTGAACAAAGAACAATTCCCAATTATGGATGAATAAATAGATATCTATGTCTGTGCCCTTACATTTCACTGGCTCCAGTTCGTACAGACGCAGTCATGTAAAAGAGTGCTCCATGACGAATGTTATGCTGTTTTTAATGTTTCATTGCTTTTGATTGACTTTCGGCAAAGTGGACTAGGCAATCTGGTATTCAGAAAAACTTGATTTCGACAATATGGCGTAGATCCGACGAAACCTCACCACCAGGCCCTCCCACAGCCCCAATCGGACTTAATGCAGTGACGGTGCCATAGATTTCCAGATATGAAGATCCAAATTTTTCGATGGGAAGTCCAGATCCTTCCCAAGAATCTATCCCTCACCCCCGCTGGTGGCGCTGACACTGATGTTTCCCCAGAGCCGTAGATATCTACGGCTCTGTGTTTCCCGACCTTTTTTGAGGAAGTGCCCTTATATAGCATTTTCTTCTTATTGATTTGAGTGGACATACATTACATTATAAACAGAGGAAAACAATAGAAATTTCACTCATAAATACAGAGACAATGTTCGGCAGGGGTAGATTTACCATGTAGTTTAGTCACTTTTTAATATATAAATTATTATTTTATAAATAAATTAGAAATATCGGTGTGACTTGTGGGGGTGGGGGGATAATTTTACCTGCGTTTACTGTATCTAATATAATGTTTACAGTTTACTACTACATTTTCTACTCTGAGCCGACCCTTACAATGCTTAAAATATTATATTATTATTTGACCCAACTGTTGACAAATCATATTCAAGAAAATTTTGAAAACCGCAGTACGTATCATGTAAAAGTCTACTTTCAAACAGTCCTGAACTTTTGGTTATAAAAAACCTTTATGTTGGTCCTCTATGTAAGTAAACTTTTAGTATGTTCTTTTACACATAATTAAGTTTATACCTAAATCAAAAAATGATTTGTTGCAATTTTGTCCTGCTCCAAGGTACGGACCTAGGCCTAAGCCTGATACTTCACGATTACAGCAAATACGATGAGCACTAAATAAAAGTCACTGAAACCAAAGATACTAGAAATACACGATAGAGTTATCCACAGAAAAAAACTGTTCCACCGAAATGCATGGTGGGATTACAAACAATGCCAGCGTTACACGACTGTGAATACATAACCTCCTTTGCGGAGGTAGAAATCGTTGATATAATCATAAGATACATCAAGTAGGCATACATAAATCTGGACGATAAAATGACAGACACCAAAGCGCAGAATGTATGACCGGACTCTGATTAGTGATAAAGTTTTCCTCCATTTTTCATTTTCCAAAAAGAAGGGCGCCGTGTGCGTCTGGTAGCCAGAGCCATAATATAAAGCCTGTTTCCACTTGGCGAATTTATTCGCACGAATCGAAAGTGTCGGTCCATGCGCATGCGCATTGGATTTCTTTCGTTGTTTTGAGAAGCGAAAAAATGCGCAACCAATAAGAGCTCAGGAAGCGAACCGACGCTTTGATTCGCAAGAATAAATTCGCCTTGTAGAAAACCGGCATAATGGCTCTGTGCTTAGCAACAGAACGGCGCCCTATACGTCTGGACCAAGTATAGAAAATTTGCATTATAAAAAGGGAAGGGCGCCGCGTACGTCTGGACCAATTTCCACCTAATTTTTTCGTATGCGAGTGCTCTATCTTTTACGGAAGCACCTAAGTGCCAACATAAATTATCTTGACAAGTCGTCAAGTCGACATAATATACATATCATGTCGACATGGCGAGATAGATTATCTTGACAAGTCGTCATAGTAAAAATTGTATGTTGTATCATGGCGAGATAGATTATACTGACAAGTCGACATAATACATATTGTATGTTGTCATGGCGAGATAGATTATCTTGACAAGTCGACATAGTAAAAATTGTATGTTGTCATGGCGAAATAGATTATCTTGACAAGTCGACATAGTAAAAATTGTATGTTGTCATGGCGAGATAGATTATCTTGACAAGTCGACATAGTAAAAATTGTATGTTGTCATGGCGAGATAGATTATCTTGACAAGTCGACATAGTAAATAAAAGTTGTTTGTTGTCATGGCGAGATAGATTATCTTGACAAGTCGACATACTAAAAATTGTATGTTGTCATGGCGAGATAGATTATCTTGACAAGTCGAAATAATAAAAGTTGTATGTTGTCATGGTGAGATAAATTATCTTGACAAGTCGACATAGTAAAAATGTTATGTTGTCTTGGCGAGATAGGTTATCTTGACAAGTCGACATAATAAAAGTTATGTTGTCAAGATAACCTCTCTCATCATGACAACAAAACATTTTTAGTATGTCGACTTGTCCAGATAATCTATCTCGCCATGTCGACATGATATGTATATTATGTCGACTTGACAACATAATTATCTTGACAAGTCGTCAAGTCGAATGGCACTTAGGTGCTTCCGTAATCTTTTTTTTAGTATCTTTACTGAAGACCTGTTATATACAAGCATAAGTATTTTGCTAACATTTTCAGTGGGAAGACTGGGGCATGGGAGCAAGCTATTGGGGTTTGGTTCCTGACCATAATACTTGCAATTAATATAGTACTCATAGATTCAAAATGCTTATAAATTTTCAGAATTCAAAGATTTTCAAGTTCACATTTGCAGGAGAAAAATGGCACCGTGGAGAGGCTGCATAAAGGAAAAGGAGTAATTATAGTGCAAAACAAGGATGAAAGACTTCAAAAATTCACCGACAGGGAGTTTGAACCGAGGGGAAGCCTGGGGCCTTCAGTCAGGGACCCAGAGTAAGAACCTTTGTGGCTATATGTGGAAAAGAATTTATGCTTTAGGATTATGAAAACTGGACACACAACAGGAACTTTGGTTGCTTCAGCAACATCAAGTAGCTGCTAACAAAGGATTCTGAGCTTGACTGACAGAATTGAATCAACTAAAGCTCTGTCTAGACAAAATCGTTGTATGCCCATATATAGTCATGATGTGCCTATATATGGTCATGAAGTGATGTCGTCATGACCATATTTAGGCATGTCAAATATTATTTGGTAGAGTGACAGGGCTTAAGATTGCTATAGATCTAGTAATCATTCTTCGTAACCATAAAACTATCAAATGAAAGAGTAATGCAGCAAAATATTTTAATACGTAAATGGTGTCATTTATTTACAAAATTCCCAAATTTACAGCCAACAAAACATAATCCATTACCACACTTTACTGCTTTCTAAATTCCTCTTTTTGTAACATAAAAAGGTGCAAGCAAGAAGTTAGCAACACAAAGAAAATAATGGTGATGATGGCATTTTGAAGAAAATAGGAAACCTAGAAGATTTGTTTTGCACAAAAAGGTTTTTGATAACCATCACAGATGCATTACCAATGGTAATTCAGTCAATAAAAACATATACAAAAGTAAAAGCCAATCATATTTCATTTTTTATAATATAAATGTTTATAGCTATAATTAATTTATTATTTTTACTGAAAAAAATAAATTATCAATAACACAGGAAGTACCAGGACATGTTCGTTTATTTGGACCCATAGCAACCATATCCAAGGCTCTGGTGAAGATCACACTTAAAAGTTAACATATAAATCATGTTTAAGGTTTGCAATAATAGAAAAAATAAATATGATGTAGTGATGTTGAAGATCATAACATGTTACCGTACTAATAACAATAGTATACTTAATATAAATGGTAATTATTATGATACTTGTATATAATATATAGTATACTTAACATAGAAAGAAAGGCATAGGAAATATAATACAAATAGAATAAATCATATTAAGGAATTCTATATAGGTAAAATTATCAGCATTGGGTTACTACAGTAAAGAAAGTAATATATATAAATAATAATAATAATAATACAGTAATAATAAACAATTAAAAATGATATTGATAATTATATAAAGGAATTAATTATATGAAACAAAAGGAATAATTAAAAATTAAAAACACTATTTGAAATTATACATGCACAGTATATGAATAACTTTTGTCTGACTTCATTCTTCAGTAACTTGGCCAAAATTGTTTTTCAAAACTGTAAAAAAACATTAAATGGATATTTTTTATTAGTGTAATGATGAATATAATTTCAAATTCCAATTTTTCTCATGGTATATTTCTTGTGATTCTCTGCGAAATACATGATTATCAGTTATGATTTTTTTTTCACCTTCAAACTGAAACTTCCATGTAATTTGGATTTAATAAATAATTTTAATAAAAATAAATCAAAAAATAATAAGCATGAATTTTTGGAAATACCAGAAGGTGAAGTTATAAACAACTTGGAAACCAATTAATCATTTTGACTGCATAAGGAAATACCTATAAAAAATATATAATGGATAAATCAGAGAAAGACTTTTACAAAAATTACTGAAATTCCTAAATGATGATGAATTTGTTAAAAGGGGGGGGGGGGGGTGTGGTGGTGGGGACATCAACAAAAACTAATCAATCAATCTGAAAAGGTGCACGAAATATAATTCTTGCTATGCACTAAGGAAAATTGACACCAGTTACATGCAGAGTATGCAGGAAATAAGTGATGGGGGCGCGGATAAAAGAGAAGAAGGGTAAGCATACAAATCATGACCACTACCTGTGGTAAAATAACCAAGTTGATCATATTTAGAAGAAAAATAAAATGTATCAATACTTTTGTTAAAATAGGTTGTGCATTTAAATTTGTAACTTGATTGGTAATTTTGTAAATGAACCTTTATATATTTACCGCATTATATGTACAAGAATAAGATAGTTTTTTCAAGGTGAGATAAAATAAACCACATTATCTACAAACATTAGGTCAATGACCTATTTGTACAGTGACCAATCCATGACAGTAATAAACCCTTTAATCAAGAGTAGAAGGAAAATCACCTTTAAAATGTCATTATGAAAATCATGGAAACTTATTCACAATTAAATCCATGATGATAAAACAAGATATAAACATTAATATATTATTATATTATATTTATAAAACATTGTCAGATGTTTTCTCAAGGTATATTGAAAATTGATTTTCTATCACTGATGAATGCATTACCTACAAAATGCATTAATTACCTCATAGTGCATGTTGCAAAATGCATTGATTACCTAATAGTGTATGTTGCAAAGTGTCCTTAAAAGTGAAAAAAAAACATGTGAACCAGGAAATCTAAATTCTACAGAATAATTTCTAAATACGGACAACCTTTACCAAAAGCTTAAATTATCATGGCCCCTAAGAGATTAGAGAAATACCAATTTGTTGCGATTGACAACCAAATAAAAATGTTTAAATCAAAATCTGAATCACCAAATTGGTATACCGGATAAAAAAAAAACTTTTAAAAACGACAAGTTTTCCTATAGTTTTGAAAAGTTGAGCATGATTAATAGCCCGACTTCAAAAATCTCAAGTCTTACTCATTAATTCATTAACACGCTGAGTAATGCACATTTACAAACACACAACTTTACAACGTTTTGTACAAATAATGCATTGTACAGTATAACAAGTTAAGCAGCACAATCTATATTAAAATTTGAAGAAATTACCATTTGGCTTTAGTTACATTAAACAATCATCTAAATTACTATAATAATAAAAAGTCAAGTATTACTACATTGACTAGATATCACTTGTCATTCGAAAGTGAATATTTGTAAAAATATCAGTTTTTAATATTGTAAAAAGCAATATCGATAAAATGTGAGTAGACTACGAATTATTAATCACTACTGTACAACAACGGGCCTACAGATTTAATGAATAATGTTTCACATCCAAGGCGATATAGCAGTTTCTTCCATTACGTTAAGTTAAAGCACTTCAATATAAAACATAACATTTTCTGCTATCCTTTTCAAAAACCTAATAACCAACTTTCATGAATAGTCATACACAGACATATCTAAATCCGGGAAAAAACCCACCAAAATAACATAGTCCTAGTCGTAAAAAGAACTAATACCACGTCCGTAACAAAGTACTTGATTTTATTCAACTTTGTATATTATGAGGATATTTCATCTTTATGTCTGGAATGCGTTTAGAAATTGTTAAATTATCACATGTCAATACACTATAGCTTCTATGCTGTACATGTCACAGGTATCAAAAACACTAATGTTTTTGCCCAGCAAAAACTCATTACCTAATGAATACAAACACTTTATCAGCAAGAACACTCTGTGAAGCTGGGTTGAGTTCGTGGACGTTGAGGGCGCTGCAATCCTTGGTAGACACTATCAGATTTCAGCGTCAGACACAAATTTCTAATCAGACATTGAGTTCCTCTACAGCACATCATCATAATTCTGATCAAAAAATGTCTGGATGACAACCTGATAATATATGCCAAGAAATATTATTTGGGTCAATGACCTCTCAAAAAACAATTTTCAAATCATGATTTATGAACTATTCATTTGGTTTAGTTTCAATTGTTCAATAGATTATAATCTGTTGATGTATAATTTTCAAATATTGCCTTCTAAATTATATGATTTAATTTAAGAAATATAATTAATCATAATTAATTCAATTTCTCACTCCTAAAATAATAGGCATAATTAAGTAATACAGACCTGAATTTGTAGGGAATTATTTTTGTTTATGTATCATATTACCTCACTAAATTCTGGCAATTTTACTGTCGCTTAGAACTCAATTAAATAATATTAATTGAATACAAATGAGAAACACAAAAATAAAAATATGAAAAAATGGAATACAGCATAATAATAACTACCAAGGCAACTACAGTAAACCTTTGACCTTTAAGGTTATATAATTAAATGACCCATTACCAAGTGGAAAATAAAATTTAATTTCATGAAATTGATTTTTTTTATAATGTAATTATTTTTTACTTTAAATGTTTGTACAGTGGAGAATCTCACATTTTTTTTAAAAACTATACATCTTTTGTAAAATCCACATCACAAGAAACAGACATCAAACAAGTGACAATATACCGATATTCAAAATAGTTTTCTTTTTTATCACTAAAAATTCTCTGAGAAAGAGTAATTGAGAGATGGGGTAGGGGACACGAATGCTTCCAGATCATAGATTCACTTCAAATGTTTTCACAGCATTTGCGAATGGATTATTTGCATTTTCGTTGGTCATTTTGGTCTCATCGCCAAAGGCCTCCCATCGAGCCTCGAAATTGGCCGGGGCTGGAGCCGGTTCCATTGCCGGCAGACTGTTGGACATATCACTGGTCCAGTTTCCCGCTAGACCATTCTGATTGGCTGGTTGCACATCTCCGGCTGTGCTGTTTGCGTTGTTGTAGTTGACCGGTAACGCTGAATGAACTTGGGCCGATACAAGCGTGTTTCCGGCAGGCTGGCTGCTTACGGCAGGGTGGGTGTGTCCGTTCACGTGCCCATTTTGTTGTTGTATAAATGGATTATATGACTTCTGCACTGGTGCATGTGTATCTGTACTTTTTAGTGAGCCCGCTACGACCTCAGATTCCTCTTTTGCCCATGGATTCGTTTGCCGGATTGGTGTAGCAACTGGCTGAAGTGCTGCATGACCTGTCAAACAATCAATCAATCATGGTTTAATTTAAACTTGCAGTATCTTCAAAGATATAATATGTGTTATGTTTGACTATATTTTTCTTTTGCCAATTACTGAGAAATAAAAACAATGGATGAGTAGTATTTTTGGAGAATCACACTAAAAATAACCCATGAAAGTTCAAATACTTGTTTGCAGTGGGGTCCTTCTGGTGGTGAATTGGGCCGTGGTTCTGGTTCTGGTAGGTAAAGCGGACGAACTAGGAGGCAATCCACTCTTCTTTTCCGAAGGGTGTACTCCATACTTTAATGTGCAAATGGGCCATTATGCAAACGGAGCTAACGGCATAACCATCTTATCCGAAAGACAGGCACTATTGTAACTTGCATTTCAGCCCCCAGCTGAAATGTTTCTATTAATATGGTTTCTATATTACTTGCATGCAGGCAATTACAATTAAACGTGGCTCATAGTCACATCAGATAAAAATGTTTTGATCTGTGAACTTTTATATTTTACACTAGTACATTTGCAAATAATCAGACAATACTGTACCATTCAACTGGTTTTTTTTTTTTTTTAATATATTTTTATTTTAATTTCTACACACAAGAGCATGACCCCAATGATATAAGATGCCTTTACACTATATAAAATAAATAACAAATGAATTAATGAACAGAAATGTATTATTCATTACAAAATGTATGACAAAGGTTATACAAATCTGTATGTATGAAATTAAGCTGTAACTTTGTGGTTTGTAATGAACCTATGCAAAGCTACATGCACTCATTTTCCAAGTATAAGTAATGCAGATGATGTTTTTTGGTTTCTGAAACTAATTTAATAGGAATACCATATTTACTCTGGAATGCAGCATTCACAGACTAAGTGCCTCAAGGCTACACAAATGGAATGTCAGAGGACTGACCTGTATTGCTGTATTTTACTGGTCATTAATAACACCACTATGTGTTGCACATACATTACTACTAGCTTGGTTTCCTTAAGCAGCTGCCAATGTAGGAATTTGTTAGAGATTTATCATATGTATGGATGTAAGTTGATAGTGTATGTAAATACTGGTATTTTACATTATATGCATCTGTTGGGTGCTGGGAGTGCAACAATCAATCACCTCGAATGCAACAATCGCCTCGAACTGGGATACATCAGTCACAGGCATATTGTGGCTGACAGATAATTAATTTACTAGATGGGCCCATAAGTATGGATGAATTAGTCAGGGAGGTATCCCTGAATTGGTAATGAAATAAGATAATGATGGCGGTAAAAAGCGCTATATAAATGCTCAAATATTATGATGGCTATGGTTTATTGCTTATTATTATTATGGCAAATATGGTAATGATGAGAATGAGGATGTTGGTATTATTAATAATGATGTGATAATGATTCGATAATAATGATGACAATTATAATCATTATAACAATGATGATGACAAAGAAAATGAGGATGATAATAAATCTGGTTGGATGATGTTGGTGTTATTCATAATGATAGTAATGATTTAATATAAATGACGATGATAATAATTATAATGATGACAATGATGATGAAGATAAGATGACGATGAAGATGAATGATGATGACGATAATGGTAACAATGACAATGATGAAGACTGTGATGATGGTAATGATTCTTGTTTCATATATGTCTAGCTAAAGTTGTTTTCCTCCTATTTCATTAGTTTAAGATTGACTGCGCCACACTCTTGCGTACTGCCACTGCCATAAAAGTGAAATGTCAAATAAATAAATATTATCATTATTAATGGTAAATGATAATAATGATGATGGTCATACACTACCTTTACCAATCACTCAATGATACATAAAACTCACCATGAGGGTTAGGTCTATTGGTTGGGGCCATTGGCGTGGAAGACAGTGGTTGGTTGTCTGGTACCTGACTTAGCTGGAACAACCCTTGGCTAAGCTGCTGACACATACCTGCGATATCCGTCTTGGCTTCGGGATTCTGTTCTGAGATTTCCTCTTGCTCTTCGCGAGTCGGACTGTGTATTGGCGATACTGTAAAATACAAGGGAAAGATTTTTTGCTTGGTTGCACATTGAAAAATTAATACGAATCTTAGGCCTGTAAGATAGTCATGGCACATTTGGAGGCGTATGTGCGGTAGTTAACCTGCCATCTACCCGCCTGTCTTAGTAAGTTGGCCCCATCCATACTGACTTTCATCAGGACTATATTCACTTAAATGCTAAATTACTTTTACAAGCAACTCAAGCAGTCTATTTTTTAAGTCGGTTCTATTCACATCAGCATAACTATAACATCCACCCACTCAAAAAATTATAAAACTAAGAAAGGCAGCAGTGGCGGATCAAGGAATTTGAAATAGAGGGGGCTCAGAGAGGGACTTTCACAGATGGAGGCTGTGTACTACCTCAGCCCACCATTGTTCGGGCTGAGGTAAGAAAATTTATGATTATGGCACCTCTAGATTACTGGAAATGGCACTCTCAGACTTAAAATTTGAGTAGAATTTTCTAGTTTTCTCATATTTAAAAAAATTGTGAATATTTTAGGGAGAGGGGGCCCTGGGTCCAACTAACCAGCTGAACATACATGTTAGAAATAAATGCTGTATAAGAATAATAAACATAAAAGGCACCATGCATACTTAAACTTTGTCCACACTACCAAATTTTCTTTGACAAAAAAATGTTGAATGCCCATACATAGTCATGCTGTGCCTATATATGGTCATGATGTGACTATATTTAGGCATGTCACATGTTTTTGTTAAATAAAATTTGACAGTCTGAACAGGGCTTAAGAACTTATAGCATTTTCGTAGAATATAGAATATCCCTTAGCATTAATACAGTACATAAATAATATCTTTTCGGGTACTGATTCTAAGCTCTGCCATTTCTGTCAAGTATCTGATTACACATCAAGTCTGATGATGTCATATTACACATGTATATGGGCAAGATGATGTCATATCACACCCTTGGGCAAATCGCTTTTTTTTTTTTTTTGTCACATTTGATAGTGTGGTCAGAGCTTCAGTTGTTAGTGGTTAAAACCTCTTAATTCAAAGTACATTAGTTTATTCATGTAGTTTATTCATGTTACATAGATTGAACATAGAAATATAATATTGATGTGTGCATATTCTATTTTGTGGAACTATTTACCTTATATTATCTATTTTATTTATTTAGGCGCATAAGCCAAAGGATTACCTATATTATTGCTGTCCCACTCAATGTGGCAATCTCTTTCACAAGACAAACGCAGTTGCACTGGATATACAAAAGGGAAGATTTTACCGAGAAAGTGGGTAACATTCCAATGAGTAAATCTTACGGCTGTTTGCACTAAGATTAATTGATGCGATTAGTTTTACCATAAGCCATGGTAAAACTAACCAAGTCATGAAAACTCAACGAAGTGGTAAAAGTCATCGTCTTTAGTGAAGTTTAATCGACTCGCGCGTTTCACACTGCACTTTTCATCTTGGTTAAACTTTTCCTGGGCAAACGCAGTAAGTTACCTAAGAGTTAAAAGTTTTCTGGGTTTTTCACACTGGACTTATTATGGGTAAACTAACCGGCATGTCGGCTAGTTTACCCGAAATAAGTCCTGTGTGATTGCAGCTCATGTCTTATTATGAGGCTTAGGAAGCGGAGTTTATTTTGGTTGTCAGAAAAAATCCTGGTATTTTGATAGTATATGAACCCAGGACTCTGGTATTGCAAAAAAAGCACCTTAACCTTACCTTCACTTCCGAGGGGCTTCTGAAATTTTCCGATGGGCCTAAACCAAGAGGCCGAATAGAGCATCGGTCAGGGTCCCAGAATAATATCCCTGGTGGGGTTTATGGGGACAGTTTTTATGGCTTAGTATGGCTCCCCCACCCCAAATCATGATTTCAGACCACAATTTTAAAAGTTACAGAATGGTATCCCAGAGAAGGAAAAGTTGATGACCAAAGAGAAGATGGATGGATGACATACAGTCAAACACTTTTAGATGGATGTCTGTAGCTAACGACAGAGAAAGATGGAAGAATTTGGAGTAGGGTTACGTCCAGCAGTGGAATGACACATCCTCAATTGATTAGGAATTGCAATCAAAAATAAGTTACTTGAATAGGCAGATTAATTAGTTGAACGACCTCTTTATGGTGTTGTGATGACTGGGGTCCAGGATTTTCCAATTTTCCACCCTGCTCCAATCTAACAGTATACTACTGTACTGGCTCCTATTTGGGAAATGCTTCTCCAAAATTTCCTTTTTTTATTGCTACTGGGTCAAGATTGTCAAAATACCACTTACATTCAGGATGAGAATGCAAAGTCTGTTGTTGCCTCTGCAGCGTTGAGGGCAGTTCATTCAATCGTAACGATAAATTTCTCTTAAAAGGTGACTGGGTGTCTAAGGCAGGAAACAGACGACATGAGCCTTGCCGCTGAAGTAACGAATCTGGGGCATGACGTCGAGGAATGGCGTATGGATTAACTGATGCCCCACCAATAGGTTGAGTACCTAAAAATCAAAATAACAGATTCTCATTAAAAATGTGAATATACCATATCTACCTAATGATAATTTCACCTTTCATTTGTTATTACACAACAGGTTACCCTTTCTAGATGCAAATATGTATGTAATGTACAGACACAACTGCCATTTTAAACTGATATATTGTCATTGCTGTTAAAAATACGAACAACCTTAGGTCACAAATATTTGATTGACTTTTAGGTGTGTAGCCCATTAATGGACCATTCAATAATTTAGTCAAGTCAAAGACTAAAATATTCTATCATAATGATATTTCAGGATATAGTACAAAAAGAATATTACAGCACCTTCATTTTCTTTGTCTTTGTTTTGTTCTGCTTCAGCCAGTTGTTCGGTCATTGTTGCTTGTCGGAATGAGCCCTGTCGTGTGAACGTTGTTTTATTGACGTCAAATTCAACTTTGACCCCACATAGTTTGTCTCGTTGCTGTTTCCTTTCTAAACACGCTGCAAATGCACAGCCTACAGCATGGCTAAGTCTTTCTCCCTGTAGAAAACAAAACGTGAAGTAAGTAAATTAATTTTAAATAATATGTTTATTATATGTCTCGAACATTTAGTCTGAGGCAAAAATATTATGATTAACTGATTATCATTTTATTGTACTTTCAGAATTAATGACTTAAAAATTACTATTTTATTCATAAAAATTCAGGGGCGGATTGCTCTAAGCGGTCTTTAGATGGTCTTAATGGTTAGCCGGCTATAATCGTGACGTCACTACTGGTCTATAATTATAGACCATTGCTATACCGCGGTCTAAACAGTTAGCCATCTTAAATTCTAAAGCCTACTCGGAGGAGGCTTAAAACGGTCTTAAATCATTTTCATCATGGCCTTCTGCTGATTAATTCAACAGTGCAATGGCAAGACCTAGGCCTAGATCATCAAAGTCGGAGAATCGAACGACAAATACACCACACACTTCTCAGCGTCTTTAAAATAGGTCTACAGCATTATTTACGTTCATTTCGATACATTTGCGTGCGCGAGCACGCATGACGTCGCCCTCAATCTTACGTTACCAGGGAGTGCTTGTTTGCATTTCAATAATCAAAGCGGTCTTAGGGAAGACTGTTTTATAGCAATGGTCTTAGAGGAATGACTTTAGTAAGACCGTTTAAGTGATAAAGTCGGCTTTAATCGGGGAGTTAAGACTACCAGTTTAGACCGTTTTATAGCAATCCGCCCCAGGTCTCCCTCCTGTAAAAGACTACTTTTATGACCAGGGTTTCTATACTTTTTAGCAGCCTTGGTCGTGGAATAATAAAGATAAAAGACATTTGTTAATTTGGGACCAAAGAGAAGTTGTCTTTATTGAAGGTGATCTTTCATTGGAGGGTGTTAAATTAGATGGACACCTATACATTTGTAAGGAACCTGTATAGTAGAAACCATGTACTACTGTAATAGAACTCAAGATAGACTAGTTATTTTATAAAATTAATTAAAATAGACACAAAAATGGAATTATATTGAAAGTTTATTGAACCATAACTTACAGGATCTCGGAGTGATTGGAAACAATGACAGAGCCATCGTCTCGTGGTACCATCTCGGCAAATGTAGGAGAAACCTCTATCATGATTACGATCAGGTGCGCAAAATGACACCTTTTCTATAGTTTGGTCTACAAGCAGGCCCTGAAAGAAACAAACATACACATTGGGGGTGCTGGTCCACGTTTTTGTATACACAATACAATTACTAAATATATGTCAGTGCATATGAATTATGGTTGCATATATTCATGTATGCTGGACGTTCATGCCTTTAATGGTTCAGGATGCCAAAAGATATAAAAATGATAATAAGTAATTAAGCAATAAGTACACTGGTGATGTACTAGAATACTAAATGTTGAAAAAAGAGATATTATAATGAGCATACTGTATCATGGTATTAGAAGCATGTAAACCATCATGTAGAAATTTACACTTTATGGAATTACATTTAACAATGGCAAAAATGACATACAGTAGCTGACAATAAGCATAGTTTTCTTTAAGGAAAATCTAAATTTGAAATAAACATACTCAAAATATTAATATGCAACATTCTAATAATAAACTATTATTATTAGTAATAAAGGTGAATAGAAAAAATGTATGTAAAAATGGGAAACAATGAAAACAGAGTGATATTGAAATTGAATATCAAATTTGTTGTATTTGGGAGAGAAAATGACATTTCTGTAGGAATGTGACAAAGAAAAAAGTGATACCTTTTTAGGGAGTGGTTTTTTGAAATATTCAAGATTTTCAATTACTTATGAACAAGAACATACATAGTATTTACAGTATGTTTTAGATTTTATATTAATATTCTGATGGATAATTATACACAGGAAATTGACTTCTGTTATGATGTCACATGTTTCAATTACTACACAGGTTGCTCATAAATAACCACATAAGTTGCTAATGTTCTCATGTGATTTTAACTACTCAAGTTGCTCATTTTTTATAATTTCTTTCTAAATTGATCACCTTTTGATGGCTTTACTATACAATTACTTCCAATAGATATACCAATTTTAATTATTCATAATGTCATTGATTTTTTTTTTCAAACTGAAAATAATTTAAAAATAATAATTAATTCATTAGCTCATTGAACATATTCTATTGGTTCAAATGTGTATATGTTAAATAAAATTATACTCGTTTTGATACTTTTGAATATCACTCAACTACTCTCAAGAAACCACATTTCTATTAAAAAGAAAAGGAGTTTGATTATGTAATTTTCACGTTTTTGACAAACTTGTTATTCACACAACAATAGCAGATTGCTGATTAAATTGTGGCCCTCTTAAATCATAGGCTCAACATTGCCTACTAGAAATACAAGAACAAGCTTTTCAGAGCAAGTATGTAAAATCTTACACGGATCATTGTATTAGAAAAATGAGACACAGTCTACAGCATACCAATTTGCTGAGATTATAAATTAGAATTCAAATTACATAGGTATTCATTTTAAGCCTCCTCATCCTTCTTTCATTATATAAGTAGTAATTATATATAACACTTTACACTTTACACTATCTTATGAGCCTATAATAAAATAATATTGAAAAGATAAATCAATCGTGGTTTGCTATTCCCTATATTACAGATAATCTTTAGTTACTTTTTTTTTAGCACTAAGGAAATTAACCCTTTCCAGTCGTATGGCGTCGCGACGACGCCCTCTTTGACCATTCTTTATAGCGAAGGGTGTCGTACGTACGCTCAGTATAGATTTCATAATAATTATTTTATAGCCAGGCTGCCCTCTACAGAATTTTTTAAGTGTGATGTAGGTGTATTTCTGTAGAGCGCCTCCTGTATTTAGACCAAATAAAATGCCTGCGCCCAGTAGAAACCCAACATTTAGTGTCGATGATGTAATTTCCTAGCTTTGGCACAGCCTCAGGCAATGGTAATGGGGCAGACTGGAAAGGGTTAACAAACATGTTATTTTCTGAGCACTAAAGACAATTGAATGACCAAACAGTGTTCCTTGCTGAGATTACCAAATACACGGATGCTATTTTCTGGCCATCACAAAAACACATGGACAGTATTTCTGAGCACAAAAAGCCACTACTAAAATAAATACATGACACTACTTTCTGAGCACTGAATGAAATTATCAAAAACATGGATAGTATTTTTCTGAGCATTAAAATCAATACCAAACACATGGATTTAATATTTCATGAGCACTTAAACTACTGCCAAATACATGAATGTTATTTTCTGAGCACTAAACGCCACTCAAACACATGGAAGTTATTTTCTGAGCACTATGTTACCGAACACATGGATGTTATTTTCCGAGCACTAAGACCAATTTACCGAACACACAGACGTTATTTTCTGAGCACTAAAGGTCATTACCGGACACATGGATGTTATTTTCTAACCCCTAAAGGCCATTACCGAACACATGGATGTTATTTTCTGAGCACTAATGGCTACTTCCAAGCATACTGATGTTATTTTCTATGCACTAGTGACTAGCATACCAATGACTAGTGTATTTTACAAACAACCGACAGTCTTCATCCATCACTACTTGTCTCATAACTTACAGTACTCACAGACATTTTCATCAGTTCTTGCATAGATTTACGGATTATAAATAACAACAGACTCGCAACTAAAGTCAAAGCCAATATGACTACAGATATCTAACCACAATCATGTGACCCGAATCAAACCACATACACTTTATTAGGAAATTAAATCTAGAATGTCAAGTCTTATTACCATCCTTTCAAAGGATGTTTGAAGGTCAGTGCATCTCCAAAATGAGAATCCTTCTAAAGTAAACTACAATTATCTTAAAATTGCTAGTGGAGTTAATAGATTTGAATTCAAAAAGATGAATGAAAATCCTAATAAATCTGAAAGCACATAAACTAGGGTGGTAGGCAGGTGGTGAGGAAGAAAAGCAATTACCCTAAAAGGATCTTTGGAGATAATTCGTCTCATCCTTAAAAAACAACTTTGATATTAATTTATTAAATGGCACTAATCTTCTTATATAATGAATCATTTTTACTCAGCAATTCACCAGTGAAATGAATTAGAAATGATGCATACTTTTTTCCTGATACGAAATTATACTTTTGTACACAATTAAATTAAGGTTTAGTTGATACTGAAATCTTTGGATGAGAAACTAAAAGTAGCTTCTATCTACAGCGTTGAGGAACTTTGTGCATGACATCTAGCATACAATCAAATAAATAGCTATCCTCGAATACATATATACATAGCATCATTGATATATAGCGCTATTTCATGAAGATCAGAGGGCTCAAAGCGTGGACTACATCCTAAGGGACTCATCGTGTTTGAGCTAGCCAGTAAATTGGTACCAGCTACTCTAATCAGTCTACAACAGGGGCTATATGGACCAGCAGTACACACGGGGGGTAAGCCCCTACTCCATTTGAAAGATGTACTGGGTTCTTTATAGTGTACATGAACTAAATATGTACAACTGGGCTTAAGGTTTATAGTCCTTATCTGAGAAGACTTGTTCCACCTCCAGAACCAAAAGCGAGGATGCCGTTCGAACGAGCGCTGATATTATGGCTGCTGGTTGCGGCGCCCCTACCTTAACCGCTCGGCCATTCGACTCCTCGAATAAGCTCTGCTCTCAAGCATAGAACAATTTTTTTTTTTTTGCTATGTCACGGTACTTATTTATATCATAAGTACACAACGTCCAATACAATTTTAACATTTAATCAAATTCAAATTACTGTAATATATGCATCTTGCTTGAAAAAGCAACACACTGAAGCCACCAAAAATGTTATAAGGCAACACAGTGTTATAGCTGCAGAAAACTAGGAGTGGGTGGTAGACAATTTAAGGGTGGGTTAGTAAACATTAATAAATTCTTAAAATAGTAAGAGTGCTGGATTTTAAGGGCACTGGTACTGGCTTTAGACTTAATGGGAATCTTCAAGACTGGGATATCCTGTCCACCATAACTACACTCCTGGTACCACCTCCCTTATTTGGTTATCCTGAGAAAACTATTAAAAATATTTTTTTCCTGAGCACTGACAGGCTCTTTAAATGTACTTTTTTTTAAAGTACTATCAGATCCATGGCACAATTAAATAGGAAGTATTTACAAGTACGACCAAATACCTAATCTTCTATTTTCTGAGCATCTAGGCACTCCTTCTATGATGCATAAGATAGCGTTTAAAAAGGAATTCTAGCAGGTGATGTTAAAGAGTAATGTAATTTCATACATCTGATCAACTTATCCTTATATCATTTTGTCAAAAGTATCAGATGTGTACAATGAAATCAATCATGATTTATTTACAGGTGAATTACTTATGTGTCACATGATGGTAACTAGTGTACCTCCCTTGGGCCCAGCTATCTTTACGTTCCTCGAACATGCATATTATGAACTTAGATTGCAATTCAACGGAACATAGTCAGTGATGCCTTCAGAAAACTATCGACCAGGGACCTAAGAAATTAATTAGGGGTCCAAACCAAAGAAGCCGCCTAGCCTTAGGACCTCCAGAAGGATGAAACGTCTAGTAGGGTCAAGGGCAAAGCAGAATTTTCAAGGTAGTAAATTGTGCTTTAAAGGTTTAGAGAAGTTTTCACACTAGCAGGATTCGATTACGATTTTTCATAAAAAAATAATTTCATAAATCAAATGACGTCATAATCACGGTAGAATGATAAAATCATTTTACTACTATGATTTTATTGTTTTCTCATGATTAGGATGTCATTTGATTTGTGAAAATATTTTTTATCGTATACACGATAAATTGTTATCGAGTCGTGCTAATTTCTATATGAACAATTACTTTTTTTCGTTATCGTCATTGTGTGAATAAGCCTTTAAGATCCCAATAATAAGAAATAAAATCATAACTTTGCCCTACAAATTACTGATAATAATTTTATTTTTTGAAAACCTCAAGTAGTGTCTGATGACAAGGATCTATGCATACGATAGGTGTATATGATTGACCAAACAGTGATATTGTCCTCACTACTGGAGCCATTACTTTGTTAATATTGTTGACATGTTTAAATATGAAAATAACGAAACCAACCTTGGCATCTTCTTCAACAACTCTAAGACTGTCTGAAGCAACCCAAAGTATTGCTCGTACTTTTTTCTTTCCATTCTGCAAGAACAAATAATTAATTGTTATTTATTACCATAAGTAGTATGTTTTCCAAAAGATTATACAGAGAGCCAAGGCGATATTATTTTTTTATTTTACAGTATAACTATATGATAACTCAAAATCAAACATTAAACATGCAATTTAGGCAGGTACAACAAAAAGCAAATGTTGTGGAGAGATAGCTTAGCTGTTCAGATGCTTGCCTTCAATCCCATGGTCTTGGGTTCAAATCCTGCGATAAGTCAGGATTTTTTCTCATGACAAAGCCAATCAAAAAAAGGATATCTTTACTAAATGACAATTCTATGTTTCAAGTACCTTTTTTTTAAAATTTAATTGTAACAGTACCATATGAAAAGCCATAATTCAACAGGCTGCATTGTTTTTATAATGCTAATTTGATAACAAATCATTAAAAAATGATTTACTGCTCATTTACATAGTTACTGCATAATAAAATAGTAGGGAAAAACAACATGGACATGAAACAGAAGTACTACAGTACACTTACGACAGGGAACTCGGACAGTGGGGAAAGGCACTGGGAAAAGGACAGTGGGACAGAGTATCTATGCACAAAAATTGGATAAGCACTGGGGAAGGGCACTAGGGCAGGTCATTGGGCAGGGCACTTGGGCAAAGACACTGGGATAGGGCGTCTAGGCAGCAAACTGGGATAAGGACTGGAGAAGCGCATTGGGAAGGTGCTTTCGAATGTCATAACTGCACTTTGTCCTTTTAATAAAATCTTAAAGCTGCACACCTGTCTTATGAATATTCATCGATCAATTAATGTCACTGTCTATAATGCACTTTCATTGTCGTCCAATCAGACTTATTGCTGGAGACTGGGTTAACACTAGTGTCATCAATGCTGAGTTCACTGATGTCAACAGACTTCATCGACTTATTGACCTCAGTATCGCATATCATTAAGCATGGTCTAATCATACTACTCATAATTAAACAGGTATCCTCCTAATTCATCATGATGTGTACTTATATAGGTCACTCTCTAAATCTTAAGAATAGGAATCAATCAGCCTATGGCCATAAGCTGATTCTGCTCAAAGGGGAATATCCAAATACCAATTATTAATTAATTAACTTGAAAATATTTTCAACAAAAAAGAGAATCTAGGACTAACATCACCTTAAAGAGTCGATTTTATCTCACTCGGTAAAGATGATGATGAAAAGTAGAATTGCCAATGGCGCTGATAAAATTCCATGGAGGTACAGTAATTGGATTGGAATGAAAGAGGAAAATCAAGACTGATTCCAATAAGGATGTAAAACCATATGGGCAAAATAGTCAGAAATATTAAATACTTACTTTCTTTATTGTTAATAAACAATGTCATAACCAGCGGGGTGCTCACGGTACCTGAGCACCCAATTTTTGTTCAAACGTGAAAAATATTATATTAGTAAATTAATGGAAATAAATGCTTGCACATTTAACAGTAGATGTTTACAGTACACCCAATTTACAGTGTAGTCATACAGTAGCCATTAACATGCCCAAGGTTTACACAAGATGTAAAGTTCAATGAATTCAGGGCACCGCCTTCCACCCACCCCCCACTCACCCCCTTTTCAAAATCCTGGATACGTCACTGTTAAATGTTCAATTTTGTCATTTAATTACTTTTTATCATGACTTTAAAAATAATATTGAAGGATAGAAGAAACTAGTGGAAGTGGTAGATAAGTGGTTAAGGTTCTTACTTTTTAATTCCACAGTTCCGGGTTCAAATCCGGATTTATTCTCACAACTGAAAAACATCTCCACTGCCTATGCCTCGTAATTAGACTAGCTTATATAGCATCATTATTATTTATTTATATACTATCGTTATTGTTCTTGCTGTCGTCATAGCATCATCAGGACCATTAAACTAAATTAACGTCAACATTCATGGGTACTTTATTGTATTTACGATGAACTATTTTTGTAAATAAAAACTGTCTACCTCGTAAAGTCTTTTTAGATTAATTGTTTTCTGTCTTGTGATTGAATAAAGACAAAATGAAGAAATTATAATATAAATAAATTATATATATATTAAAAACCAGATGAATCTATTTAGCCAGAAATAAAGGAAATGAAACAGTTAATAGCACTTTCAGTTTTGTTTTTTTTAAATGTACGTAAAAAACAGAAACATACTACTGTAAATTCAGTTTCCAAATACAATGAAATGTAATAGAAGTTTCATGAAGGGAATACTGTAAGTTCAATATAAGCCAGATTTTAAGCTATTGTGATATGTACTTACTGGCATAATGGTGTAATACTTATTAAAAATGCATATGGATGGTGACTGATCACGCTGTGACCATGTCTCTACCATCTGGACTTAAGAAACCACTAAAGAGTCATGAGCAGAATGACACACTGTATTATTCATAAAATAGTAAAGCATCGGTAGTTAACATACAACGACATGGGTGGCACCAGCAGGGGAGCAGGTGGAAGGGGGTCAGGGACCCCCTGTCGGGGAGAAAAAGCATAATTTATTATTAAAAAATTATATGTATTTTCTAAATATTAGTAGACTCAATTAAATCAATCAAATAAGCCTTTAAAACCTTTAAATTGTCAAAATTTTCGGGGGGTTCGCCCCAGACCACTTTCGAGAGCCTTTAATAGAAGTTTGACCACGCCCACTTTGCTTTAGTCTGGGAAATCTAACCACTCGTCGAGGGCATTCCCCCCCCCCACTCCCCGTAGGGCAAATCCTGGCGGCACCCCTATATAACGATGATAAAAAATTACCTCATTTTCATTAATTCATGAATGTGAAAGCCATCAATAAGAGTGAAGAAAACGTAATACGTCGATATCATTCTCGCCATTGGTGCCTTAAACATCCTTGACAATATGCTGCAAGTTAAATATAATTCTTGATTCATGCAAAAGGCATGAATCGCTTGTTGCGACAGATATGATACTGTAGGGAAGGGTTGTCTAAAAACTTGATGACGTAACCATATTCGTTATCGATTTATTATGCTTGCGAAAACTTCCTAATAGGTAAAGCACCCATCTTGCACGACTTCGTTATACAGTGTACAGCTGTCTTTTTTTGCCAACATTCTGATGACACTTTTGATGATTATAAATACCATATTGTGTAAAATGTTAATATTATTATCATTTCATTGAATCCTCGGCACTTGAAAATACATGACGACTGCTAAGACAGCACTAACAACTAATCATGGTCAATAAATAATTAACTTATTAGTATAACCCTCCAAAAGGAAATGGTTATTTATAGTACATCATAAATTATGAGATCAAAATCCTAATATACATTCTTATATTTAGCTGGAGTAAATGTGTTCTATTTGTTACACAGTAGTTCATTGAAATAATGATGATTTTTTTTCGTCACCACAATATTTTAGTTAATACACAAAATTCACTAATATTTAAAAAAAAATAAAATAGGTACACAGCACACAATTCCCTTATTTATTAATATCGATACGGATTCCTCACATTCAGAGTAAGGTTAGACTAGAGGCGTACCGGTAATCATCCCATGTACAGTTTATTACAATTATGTATACAGTATTATTATAATATCTATAATTTATTACATTTGTGAAAATTGGTACTGTAAGCCTCAACAGATGTCAATACCTTTAGTGCTAGAAGCTGAAACTTGCCTAATTCATTTCTAGTTATTCTTGTCAAAGCATAAACTACATTTCATAATTAGATACTATAATTAGGTTTTATGTTGTGCTGTTTCTTCCAAGATATTTGTCTACTTATTATTATTTCATTACAGTGTACAGCTGGAAGTTCATTCAAATATTATGATGTTTAAAAGGTAATCTTTATTTACACAAGTTGTGTGTGCTGATATTAGATATTGATTAATGAACTTGGTTGAGCCAGGCCTTGGCCAATTACAATCAGACGATGCTTATTATTTTTAGCTTTAAATTCTTGTAAAATACAGTATATTGTCCTCAAGAGTTTGATTTAAATTTGAGTTTCAAATTATGAATTATACATTCACACAAACTTTGTACCAGATGTCATAAAATACTAGTACTAACATGTTATTCTGGATAGCTAATTAAATTTAGTTTTAACTGTTTATTAATAGTACAAATTTATATTGTAATTACTTAATTAGTATAATGTCTCCTAATACCAAGAAAAATCTGAACTACAGAATAGTCATACCTGCTTATTCAATGAACGACTGAATAATACAGTAGAACCTCGTTTTTATGTACCCAAGTTATACGAACCCTCGGTTTTACGTACGCCTCGTATGGACGATGACATCATCAAAAACCCCGAAAATATTCAAAACAAACGGCCCTTTTGAGAGCAACCATAAGTAAAAAGAATATAACAATAAACTATAACAATAAACAAACCATAATGCAACGTATCTTCATTAAACAGCAACGTTGATTGAGTCTAATACC